TCGCTGGGGGGCGTGCAGTCGACACTCATCAGTCACAGGGAGGCGTGCAGTCGACACTCATCAGTCGCTGGGGGCGTGCAGTCACACTCATCAGTCGCTGGAGGCGTGCAGTCGACACTCATCAGTCACTGGGATGCGTGCAGTCAACTCATCAGTCGCTGGGGGGCGTGCAGTCGACACTCATCAGTCGCTGGGAGGCGTGCAGTCGACACTCATCAGTCACTGGGAGGCGTGCAGTCGACACTCATCAGTCGCTGGGAGGCGTGCAGTCGACACTCATCAGTCACCGGGAGGCGTGCAGTCAACACTCATCAGTCGCTGGGGGGCGTGCAGTCGACACTCATCAGTCACTGGGATGCGTGCAGTCAACACTCATCAGTCGCTGGGGGGCGTGCAGTCGCCACTCATCAGTCACCGGGAGGCGTGCAATCGACACTCATCAGTCGCTGGGAGGCTTGCAGTCGGTACTCATCAGTCGCTGGGAGGCGTGCAGTCAACACTCATTAGTCACTGGGAGGCGTGCAATCGACACCCATCAGTCGCTGGGAGGCGTGCAGTCGCCGGCAGGCCTGTCGGCTGGGCGCGCGCGATCACCACACCCATGTCGGCATATCGATCTGTGTGACCCGCAGCAGCATCACCTGTAGTGCTTGATCGCACGCCTTACGTCTAGCTGGCGTGTTGAAGGGTACGGTTTTTGTGTACTTGTCTGAAATGTAACGCAAAAATCCTGGCAAGCCTCCCTGGCTGGTATGGGTCTTGTCTTTTGCCTTTGTCAAAACTAGTCGATCGGCAATAGGCTCTGTAGAAGAAAAAAAACGCTGAGGCTTTGGCGCGGGGTTCCGACAAGCTATTCATTCTCCTTCACAGTTGCCCTCCGAGAACATTTCCACGTATTGTTCTGACATCTGAGCTGGATTGTTTTCAAATTTGCATGCGCCTGACCTGCGAGATTCTGCTGCCCCCAAAGGGACGGGGGATGACTTTTTTCTTCGGATTTTTAGTAAGAAACGCGGATATCAACCGTTCGGGCTTATCGAAGCACGTTTCT